AGGCTTTCTATGAAAACAAATGGCCTTCCCAGTCACGATAGCTTTTCTTTCGGTGAAAATTATGCTGCCAGTAACAACTACTCAAAACGAGCTCAACTTATGCGAAGCCGCGCAGACAACCTTGTTCGGAATGTGATTATGCGCCAGATGAGCAATGCCCTAGAGGAGGTGAATGATACCCCAAAACGTAAACTGGGTTTTTTCAAGGATCACAAGCAATCCACCAAACTGGAGGGCGACAACAGTCCCCTAAGGAATTTCATCACTGGACACTATGACGTCTTCTCCAAATATTGCCGGACGAGAAACAACAGTGATACGTAAGTTTTACAAAACTAAAGCCTGCATTTTTTACACCTTTGCAAGTGTTCGAATTGTATCAGGACTTGTGACTTTGACAGTAACTGCGAAGATATGAGCTGTGTGGATCGCTTAAAAGTATAAGTTGGATCGCCAGGACAACATTTGTTGTTTGCCGAGTTTCGGATTTACACTGGGCTCACGCATCAGAGAGAGCACAGGATTGCAGTACCTAGAGGCTGCAATGGCCATGACATTAAGTGCTTATCCGACAGGTAGATTTCACTGTTCGCAAAGGTTCGTATTTGCTGCGACTGCTGTATTTAACCGCATTTAAGTCGTGAATTTGAGTAATTCCACTAAAACTGTTGATGGGTGGTGAGATAGTTATGCAGAAATGTGATCAGCTGATATTGTAACTGGAGATGCTGTTAGACCCAGACCCCTAAAGTGGCGCTTGTTTCTAGATTGCGGGAAAGAGAACTAGCACCCAGACAGCTATCTGATCGCGGAGTTGTCAAGCCTCGGGAAATCACGGTCTATTTGAACTTGCTGATGTGGCCGGGTTCCGTCGGGTGACTGCTGACCTGAGATCTGGCTTCATTCCTGTAACGCTGCCTGTATGCCTGGCCACCAGCATCCGCATAGTCCCGCAGGTTGCGGCATAGTTACGTTTTCCACAACTGCAACATTTCCAGTAGATGTCTTTACGCGTTTTCTGCTTTGGCCGTTGGCCTTTTGACCCTATCACGCGGCGCCTTAAAGCTGCCTTTGATCAGTAGGCAGTGAAGGGAACAACCAGGTGGACGACGGCTTTCGGGGACGTTCAGCGTACCCGAGGGCAACAGATTGGGCGCTGGTACGATTCTATCAATCAACGGGGTTCTGGATACGTCGAATAAAAGTTTCGTGGTAGTAGCTGATTGGCCAGTTGCTATTTAAACTTACTAAGTGTACAACATGGGTTATCTCGATAAATCCGTATGAATTTTCGGGGACATAAAAATGTTCGGGGCAGCGGAAAACCTCACAGAATGGTAGATACTTAGTTTCAGCCTCCTCCGCCTTAAATTGTATGCATGGGGAACGATGCACCGAAATTACAATCAAGGGTGAAAATCCAGCCCCACATGAGGCTTACGAAAATATCGTTCACATGGCAAAAACTGAAATTCCGTCAGTGCTGTCACAAGAAGAGCAAGTTCAACCGGTGCAGGGACACCTCAACTGACTCCATAAGCCGACAGATCCAGTGGCATGCCTTTGAGTTACGTATACATTGTTTTTTCGAACGTTAACTACGACATACAATAGCAGTTTAGCAGTTGAATTTGTTAAGCGTGTCCGAGTCGATTCTACGCCACATCGTATTTTCTTCGAAAGAGTAGGTCAAGGGTTTTGATCGCCTTATACTGATAAATAAGAATAAGAGAGGATATGTCGTAAAAAGCCACAATTGCAAGTGATTACCCCCTTAAGACACTCCAAACGATATGCAGGCAATCGACTGTGGTGGCAGAAAGTTGAAATTGAGTAACTGCCGATGTACAAATCTGTAAAATCCAGTATCTTCGAATGCTATGATGATCACAAGAGCTAAGCCTCACTTGAAAAACTTGGTCTAACGCCACAGACTCGGACTGACGCAATTTCTTGAACTGTCGCATGCGTTGGTCGAGTGGTGATAAAACACCAGAGTTCTTGATTGCCAACAACGTGAGCAGTTGCACGGGGTTAGCTTCGCGATGAGCATAAAATAGGTTACCGAAAACATGAACTATACCTAAAGCCACTAAAAGCCATAATTAATCAGGAGCCGGGGCAAGTATAGTCGCCAAAATAACAAGCTTATCATAAACAAACTTGAGTTACGTCTTGCATAATGTGCCTTACAAGGGACAAACAATCAATGTTCAAGTCGGCAGAAGTGCGTTTATTGTAGGTTTCTGGTGTAGGTTTCTGCCCTACGTATATAAATTTGCGATTATGTTAAAACTTACTTTAAGGTACAGTAGATTGCCTATCTGATGCAAGGTTGGGGATTTGAGGATTAAA